TAGGTAGTTACAATGTGCAGTAGTTTGAGACCTATTATGTCTATTTTTGGGGGTTGCCAGGCAAAGCCATAAAGAACTATGCACTCAGTAATATCTGTGCATTTCACTAGGTGGATTTTTTTTTTTTTTGGTGGTACTGGGAATTGAACTAAGGACCTTGTGCTTGTAAGGCAGTCACAGTGCCATTGAGCTAAATCCCTAGCCCACTAGATGGGTATTTTACCTCAAAGGAAAAAGTCCTGCAACCAAACATACTGGACTCTAGTTAATGAAATGCAAGCTGAAGTGTTTAGAAGTGTACTGTTGCAGGTTATTTTGAAATCTATCAAGAAAATGAGATGGATAAATGTAGATACGAGATAAAGCAAATACTGCAAAATGTTACAGGATCAAACCAGGTGTGATGGTGCGCACCTGGAATCACAACACTTGGGAGGCTGAGGCAGGAGGATTGCCAGGAGATCAAGGCCAGCCTGAACTACAGAGAGACCTTGTCCCAAAACAAAGCTACAGGATCTAGATGGTATGGGTATCTATGTGCTTCCTATACAATTCTATCAGCTACTAAATCTTTTCTACTCATAAAGAAATTTTTATGTATGCTTAAAACTTTTTATAATAAAATGTTGTGAGGGGACCTAAATCTGATCGTGTCATCCCTCTGTTCAATATCTGTCATCCAACAATGGAAGCCAGAGCCCTGACAGTGGCCTCCAGACAGGATGGTAAGACATTCTGGTTGTCCCAGCATTTCACTGTTACCCAACATTACTGCCGCTACCCCTTTCATTCTCAGAAGAGAAGTCCCTAAGTCTGAGTGAGGATTACGTTTGTCCTGCCTGAGGCCCTACCTGCCCTGCACTCACCCCCACCATTCCCTCCTGCCTCCCCTCTGCTGCTCAGGCCAGGTTCCTGCCCAAGGCCTCGCATGACTGTTCCCTGTGCCTTGAATTGCTAAGGCCAGGTATGTGTGTGGCTCTTTCCCTCACCTCCTTCGTTCTTTTCTTCACATCTCAGTGAGGTCTCTCCTGAGCTGTTTAAAACTGCGACCTGCTTTTTCCCCATCTCCTTACTCTGCTTTGTTTTTTCCTAAGTACAGTCATGAACTGCACACCAATGTCTCAGTGAAAACAGACCGTCCCACTTAGTGACGTCACAGTCATCTTGGCTTGTGTAAGTACACTCCAGAGTTGCCCAAAGATGAAGCTGCCTCAAGTGCACTTCTCAGGACATTACTGTCCTCAGGACTCCTGACTGTACTCACAACTTCTAGCCATAGGTTGAATATGCTCTTTGGGTTGCCAAGCAAAGCCACAGGAAGCCATGGAATTTTATGACAGTTTACTGATTTTCTTCTGTGTTATGTTAAATTCTCAGGGGCTAGAACAGTGCCCAGTAGACTGGAAATAATTACATGTCACTACAGTGTGGGAATGCCTGTACCCTCGTGGAGCTGCCAGTCTGGGGCTAAAGACCAAAGCAGAGGGACCCAGTGCTGTGCGGAATGGGGTGCACAAGGAAAGTAGAGAAGACACCCGGCAGCTGAGGTGAACAAAACTGCTCAGCAAGGGAACAAGAAGGACACACCTGCAGAACAAACAGTGTCGGAAACTGCTGGGCAGTTCAGGGGCAGCTGGAGCTGAGGAAGCAGCAGAGTGCAGCTCCACGGTGCAGGGGATGAGGAGAATGCAGCTGGGGGAGGCCACCTTCACGGACAGGTGGGCTTCAGAGGGGCTGGAGGGGCCAGGGATGTCACTCAGTGATGCTGCACCTGCTTCGCAAGCGCTAGGTCCTGGGTTCAATCCCAGTTACTGGGGGGAAAAAAGGGCCAGAGGGAACAGAAGGCAGCAAAAGGGGCCAGGGAAACCTGCCAGGAAGCTTTAACAAGCTGTTAGCACCTGAAGAAAGTGAAGCAGTGTGGTCCTGGAGAAGACACTAGGGCACGCTGGCTCAGGGAAGTGGACTCTTAACTGGTGCACAGGAGACAGCGAAAGCGGCTGGGGGAAAATGGGCCCCAAGGCCAAGGGCCTGTGGGACAGGGACACCCCATGGAGGTGCTGGCAGCCGTCTGGCGCCCAGTCTGGAATACAGAGCAGAACTCGGAGGCAGGGAATTCAAAACCATTAACTCAGAGGGAAGGTGGGACACTGTGGACAGTGTTCATGAAGAGAAGAGCCAGGCCAGTAGACGAGAGAGGGGATAGACTGGGGTGCATGGAGGCAGAGGGAGGAGAAGGGGTGAGCAGTGGAGGCCCAACCTACCAAGGGCAGAAAACTCTCCAAAAAGAGAGTGGCCCTGTGAGGAGGAGATAGAGAAGGCAGGGCAGAGGACAAAGTAGAGGTGTGACTGCAGGGGACGACGGAAGACTGGATATGGAACAGCCTCCGAAGAGCGAGGCAGGCCTGGCCCATAAAGGTCGCCTGGGTCTATAATGAAGAGAGGGATGAGAATAGGGAGACTCGAACTTCAGCCTCTCCAGGCTGCTCAGAAAGGGACATCCATCCAGGCCATGCCTCTTCCCAGCCTCAGACAGGCAGGTCTCTGCTATTGATCTCTACACCTCACTGTCCTCACCTCTGAAATGGGATAATTGGAAAAGCAGCTGTCACTTAATAAGACTTACTACTGGTAAGTCAAGGGCTTTCTCTCCACTTACTGGCCCATTTAATGCCCAGAACAGTCTTACCAGACTGATGTTACTATCGTCATTATTTTACAGATGAGAAAACTGAGGCAGGTGAGAAAAGACAAGTTAAATCACTTGTTCAGAGGCACAATGCAGAGGCTCAGACTCAAACCCAAGACCTGAACGTTGGCCTTCTTATCATGCCAACTAACTCCGGGCACTTAGCAGTTCACAGAGCATCTGCCTAACCTCACAGGGCCATGGGGAGGCTAATGAGAAGAATCACACACCCAGCTGAGATTGCCCTGTGTGGGACAGACTAAATAATGGCCCTCCAGAGATGTCTACCTCCTAATCACCAGGCCTGAATATTTATTTTACATGGCAAACCAGACATTGCAGGCTGATTAGTGCCAGTGTCTTGGGGTGGGAAGAGGGCCCTGGGCCACACTGGTGGCCCACTGTAAGCACAAGGGGCATTATAAGTGGGAGGCAGAGGGGAAGATGCACCTACAGGGTGGGTGCTGTGCTGACAGCTTTGGAGATGGAGGGAGAGGCCACAAGCTAAGGCATGCAGTGACCTCTAGAAGCTGGAAAAGAGGAGGAACCAGACTGTACCCAACAGCCTTTGGGAGGAACTGTCCCTGCTGACACCCTGATTTTATCCCAGGGAGACTTAATTTTGGATTCTGACCCCCAGAACTGTAAGATAATAAATTTGTGTGGCTTTAAGCCACTAAACTTGTGGTAATTTGTTACAGCAGCAGTGGAACAATTATACCATGTTACTATGCCCTGCCTGGGCCCAGCCAGCTCTGGCTCCACTATTATGACAAGAAACCCTTTACATTTTTTAATGGTTCTTTTCAGTTCCATTTTAGCCCTTTTTGAACCTCAGTCTCTTCCTCCATTAAAAATAAAAAATAAAAATGGGAGGGCTGGGGATTTAGCTCAGTGGCACCACACCTGTCTCACAAGTGCAAGGTCCTGAGTTCAATCCCTGGTACTGGAAAAAATTAAATAAAAATAAGGCCGGGTACAGTGGCACATGGCTGTAATCCCAGCACTCTGGGAGGCTGAGGCAGGAGGATCACAAAGTCAAACCTAGCATAGGCAACTCAGCAATTTATTGAGTCCCTGCCAGGTGTGGTGATACATGCCTATAATCCCAGCACTTGGGAGGCTGAGGTAGGAGGATCACTGTGAGTTCCAAGGCCAGCCTAAACTACAGTGAGACCCTGTTTAAAAAAAAAAAATTAGTGAATCCCTAGCTTAGAATAAACAATAAAAATGGGCTGGGGGGCTGGGGATGTAGTTCAGTGTGAAGGCCCTGGTGTACCCAGGACCAGGAAAAAAATGGGGAGCGAAGAGGTTATACACCTGACCTGGCCTCTGTAGACAGAGGGCACCTTACATGACACAAAGTTTCCTACAAACTGCTGGGGCAGGTGAGGCACAGCTATTGTCCCCATTGCTCAGATGAGCAAACTAAGGCTCAGAGAGTGAAACAGCCTGCCTACAGCCACACAGATAGTGAGTGACAGAGCTAGGACTTGAACCAGGGCTTCTGACCACAGATCTGCACACTGAGCACCATGTCAGCTGGTGTACCTGCTACATGTTGCCTCCTCAGAGAAGCCTTCCTGGACAACCCAGACCACTTGGCTATTTGTTCATTCACAAAGCAGCTGGTATGGCTGCCTGTCAGTAATGTCGAGCTAGGTAAGGTGCGGACACGGCCATGTCCTCACGGTGCCCACAGCCTAGTGGATAAGACAGACACATAGACAGCTGACAAATGCCAGAAGGAAAGGAAGGAAGCCCAAGACATTGTGGGAACTCACAGCAGGGTACCAGGCTAAGCATGGGGTCCAGAAAGATTTCTCAGAGGAGGTGGAGGCTAAGGCGCCAGGCCACAGGTGCAGGTCTAGCTTGGCCCAGGAGGGGAGGGCAACAGTGCAGCGGCCTGAGGGCAGGATGAGTGGGCCACTGCATCCTAGACTGAGGGACATGGAAATCATAAGCCTCGCTGCCCAGGGGGAACTGCTGGACCCAGGGGAGGACTGAGCAGGAAGAAAAGGGGTTCTGGGCTTCTGGACAGGGGAGTGAAGGGGGGGAGGGCAGGAGGGCAGGGTGGGGGTGTCAGGGAGACGGGGTCCTGGCTCAAGCCCCCACTGCACATCTAGCAGGAGGGCGGGGGGGGTGTCAGGGAGACGGGGTCCTGGCTCAAGCCCCCACTGCACATCTGATTGCAATGTGACTATAGGAAGGTCCTCTCCGAGCCTCAGTGACCCCATCTGAGGAATGGAACATGAGACAAAACTGTCACTAAAGACGCTCCCAGCCCTGATGGGGGAAATGACATGACACGAAATTACAAAAGGGACTTTATTTGTAAAAAAGCCAGAGGGGCCCCGGGACGACAGGACAGGCAGCCGGCTTCTCAGGGGTCAGGGGCATTTGGGCAGATGCGCTTGAGTGGGGGGGCGCCCTCCGAGTCCTCTGTGTCACCCTGGGCTGCCTCAGGGACAGGTGGCACTGGCTCAAAGACGGGGTAAGCTTCGGGGGCCTGGAGAGGAAGGGTGGACAGGCGTGAGCTTCACCGCTGCCCTCTCCAAAGCCTCCACTCCACTCCCTGCTGACCCCGCAGGCCAGCCCAGGGCCGGGAACCGAAAACAACAGTGGCAGCACTGTTTCAGGGAGAGAATTTGATGTTTCTGAAAAATGCACCTAGGTAGTCCTTGTGAGAAAAGTCAAGTTTATGAGGTGCTTTCTTAAGCTACTTTTGTGGTTTAGGGTTTTTGTGGCATGTATGGTGCTGGGAATGGAACCTGGGATCTCTCTCATGTACAGCTTGCTCACTACACTAAGCTACATCTCCAGTCTAGGGTTTTTGGGTTTTATTGGTTTTCTTTTTTTGATACATGGAGCACCATGATTATTTCAGGATTTTAATGCTCTTAAATCAGCCCTGATCCAGACTGCAGGACTTTGTCTCTAAAACAATTTTTTTTTTAGTCCCCCAAATCTGGCCTCTAAGCCTCTGCAAGGTCCACATCTCCCTTCTGGACCTCAGGGCCCCAGAGCCCCCATGCCCTACAAGACTTGGCAGTGCAGCCTTCTGCCCTCTCTCACCTCAGCTTCCAGCAATTCTGGAACAGGCTCCTCCTTGGTCAGCATTGGGGGTTCATCTGTCCCGCCTGCAGGCGTGACCGTGGGTTCTGCAATGTCAAGGGAACAGACCTTTCCTGAGCAGCCCATAGCACAGACAAGAGGGGAAAACACACACAGCGGGTACCAGTCACATAAGCGGAGGCTGTGAGAGCTGGGAAGAGGGTCCTGGCTGCCATCTAGGGTGTAGACAAAGGAAAGAAGACTGAAATAGGGTCTTGAACACACGCTTAGCAGGCACAAGTTCTACAGCTGGATTGGCTCAGTTCAAATTCTGACCTTGATATACTCTTAAGCGAAATAAATAGGACACACTTGAGTAAATACCAAATAGTTTCTCTAGTATGAAAAGCTAAAAGTGTAAAAAAGGTTCAAATGGTATAACTGATAATGTGAAATAGAAAGAAAATGGCTTAAGGGGAAGCGGGAAGGGGAGGGGAAAGGAAATAAGTGAAAAGAAAAAAATGTGAAGAATAAATGGAAACAAAGTCTATGTAACTAGGGAAGGGTGAAGCGGGTGAAGGGAGGGCAGGGGTATGGGAAGAAAACAAGAACCAAGACATATCATGTAAAGGTACAAGATCCTAATGATAAATGTAACTGCACTGTTTACTTTAAATGTACCAACAAATTTAACGGAAAAAAAATTCTGACCTTGAGCAACCTATTTAATTTCTCTGGGCCTCAGTTTGCTCATCTACAAAATGGGGATAATGTCAGTAATTATCACATGAGACTGCTGTGAGGATTAAGTGTCTAGCACATAGTATGTACTCAATAAATGCTAGTCCCCGCCCCCCAGTGCTGGGGATTAAACTCAAGGCCTTGCGCTTACTAGACAAGTGTTCTTACCACTGAGCCACATTCCTAATTCCTATCATTTTTATATTAGCAAAGGTATAAAAGCACCTGTAACCCCAGTACTCTGGGAGGCTGAGGCAGGAGAATAAAAAAATTCAAGCCCATCTGGGTACTTAGATACTTAGCAAGACCCTGTCTCAAAACAAAAAAGGGCTGGGATGTAGCTTAGTGCTGAGGACCTTGGTTCAATTTCCAGTGCCACAAAAAAGAAGAAAAAATGTATAAAAGTGCTTGGCGTGATCTAGACCCAGACCCTAGGCCCATGTCATGGCTGTTGGAAGGAACAATGAAGCCAGCTGGGGAGCCACTGAATGACAGGGAGCAGGAAAACAATCTCATCAAAGTTGTTCTTTAGAAAAACGGTTCTGTCAGCTGCATAGAGGCACCTGGAAACCAATGAGGCCAGAACAGGTGCAGCTGAAAGACAGGACTGCCAGAGCCACGGAGATGGTACTGACCAGACAGGACACTGACCATGAAGATGGAGGAGCACAGGGGCCTCAGGCCTAAGGCTGTGCCAGCTTAGGTTCCTTACTTAACTTCTCTGGGTCTCGTTCTCCTTTTCCATAAACAGGGACCATAATAGAACCATAATCTTTATGTTCTTTTTTTTTTGGTACCGGGGATTGAACTCAGGATCTTGCTCTTGGGAGGCAGGCGGGCACCACTGAGCTAAATCCCAAGCCCTGGACCATGACCTTTATAAGGCTGTTGCAAGGATTCAGTAAGAGAAAGCAGGTAAAGTGCTCAGAAAGGTGCATGGTATACAAAAGAGATCCAGCCAATAAATATTTGATATTACTATCCCTTTTATTATTAATCACTTATGTGATTATCACTATTACTATTATTTTTGAGGCAAGGTCTCACTGTGTAGTTCAGGCTGGCTTTGAACTTATTATGCAGGGTCCAGGCATTTAGCTCAGTGGTACCGCCACCTGCCTCGCAAGCATAAGGACCGGAGTTCAATCTCCGGTACCATAAATAAAATTAAAAAATAAACATTATGTAGCTCAGACTGACCTCAAACTCACAGTAGTCCTGCCTCAGCCTCCAGAGTGTTGTGACTACAGGCATGCACCACCATGCCTGGCTACCACTATTATCAATTCCCTTGACAAATATTTATCGGGCCCCTATTATGTGTCCCATGGTATTCTAAGGAACAAGATCGATACAGGCCCAACATTTAAGAAGCTGACAGTAGCTGGGTATGTAGCTCATCCACGAAGCACCTGCCTGACAAACGCGAAGCCCTGAGTTCAATTACCAGTACACCTTCTTAAAAAAAAGGATTTAAGAAGCCGACATGAGATGAGAAGACAAAGAGAGTAAACTAATGAAAAATTAGACGTGCATGAAAATCTCAGATGATGATGTTTTATCTACAGATAACAGGAAGCCAGAAGAATGAGACAGAGCAGCTGGAGGAAGTGTCTGCAGGGGTCAAGGGTCACCCCAGGAGGCCACACAGGAAGGGGCACAGGCAGGGCGATGGGCTGGGCTCAGCCTAGGGAGAGAGGACTGTGTAGAGGGCTCCTGGGAGGGACATGGTCCTACCTCTCTCTTGGCCCAGTGGTGGGGGCTGGGCCTCCTCGGTGACCCCTTCTGGGGGGCCAGCAGGTGACACGGGGCGGCTGGGCTGGGGGGTGCCCCCGGGGCTGGGCTCCGTGCCCTTCTGCAGGGAGCCTTCGGAATGGAAACTCTGGTTGCTGTTCTCATCTGTGGGAGCAAAAGCTAAGAGGATTGGCCTGAAGACCCCAGTAGCCTCCTTCAATCCCTACAGGCCCCCAAATCCCAAGAGTCCTAC